TCTGACAGTCCTCTCCTCTCTGCTGCCAGCTGCAGAAAGCCTACCTCCCACCGCCGCCACCCCGTCCAAGTCGGCCGACAACGATGAGGGGAGACATGACGCGCTACCTTCGGCGCAACGCATCGGCATCGTCGACGGTCGACCTGCCGCATCTTGTAAGGATGGCGCACCCGGTATGCAGAAATCGGCGCCTGCAGAAACCGGCGCCTAGTATGCAGAAATCGGCAGGGGAGCAGTTGACAGGGGAGCAGATCAGCGGCAGCACGTCGAGCGACGTTGTGGAGGTCATCGGCGAAGCTGCAGGGGAGTCGTTTGGAGACAGTTCTGTCAGGGGTCCACTGGAGATCCCCGATTGATCCTAGTGAAGGGTTACAGGCACATTGGCCTGGAGGGTTATGGGCGCACTGATCCGCTACTTAACAAGCCCTTTTATCCCAATGGCCTAGTGGTTGGGATTCTGACATGGTATCAGAGCGAAGATCTCGGTTTCGAATCTCAGTGTGTGCACTTCGGGCATCCCAGTGCGGGGGTGTCAGGGGTCCACTGGAGATCCCCGATTGATCCTAGTGAAGGGTTACAGGCACGTTGGCATGGAGGGTTATGGGCACACTGATCCGCTACTTAACAAGCCCTTTTATCCCAATGGTCTAGTGGTTGGGATTCTGACAAGTTCTTCGAGCGATGTGGTGGAAATCAAGCCGCCAACACGGCATTCCACCCGCTCCAACTTTGGTGTGCCTCCAAAGAAATGGGCCGACGTGTGCCCGGTATTCGCTAACACGCTTCTCGATGACGCAAATGCGGATACCACGCTGCCAGAACTGGATCCCGATGTGCACGCTGATCCTGAACGATTGGAACGATGACCGTCAAGGAAGCGGTTGCAAGCTAGAAGGGGAAGGCGGTGAAAGCGGCAATGGATGAGGAGATGCGTAGCCTCCTTGCCAACGGAACATGGGAGTTGGTGCCTCGACCGCGCGGCGTCAATGTCATGAAGAACCGGTGGGTTCTTACGACAAAGTACAACGCCGACGACACGATCGCTCGCGAGAAGGCACGGCTCGTCGTGAAGGGATTTACGCAGATTTATGGCGCGGATGATGAGACGTATTCCCCGGTTGGCAGCTACATTACACTGCGCATTTTCCTCTCCATCGTCGCGGTACTCGATCTGCACGTCATGCAGTTGGACATGAAAAACGCATACCTGCAGAGCAAATTGGACCGGGTTCTGTACATGGAGCAGGCGGCGTACTTCAACGACGGTACATCTCGCGTGTGCAAGCTTCTGAAGAGCTTGTACGGACTCACACAGAGTCCACTGCTGTGGTATTCGGCGCTCGACAGCATACTCATTGGCGGCGGGTGGAGCAAGAGTCAGGTTGACGAAGCGCTCTACTTCAAGTTTGGTGCTCATGGCGTCGGTTGCTGGCTGCTGGTGTACGTTGACGATTTGCTCGCCGCAAGTAGCAGCCTCGAGATGCTGAAGGACCTCCGTGAGCTTCTGCAAAACGCATTCGAGCTACGGGAAATCAATCCCGTGCAGAAGTATTTGGGTCTGGAGATAGTAAGGGACAGGTCTGCGCGCAAGCTGTGGCTGCACCAAAGCGCATACGTGGACAAGCTGCGTCGCCGCTTGTGGACGAAGAGCAGACAGGTCGCTGCCCAAAAACGCCTATCTCGGTCGACGCGTACACCGAGTTGACATTTGACGACGAAGAATACCAAGCGCGTGAAGAGGAAGAGTATCATCAGAAAGTGGGTTCGCTCCAGTTTGCCACAACTACGACCCGTCCCGACATCGCATACGCATGCAGCAAGTTGGGCTCGGGGTTGACGATTCGCACTGACCAGCACTGGAGGGAGCTGGACCGCTGCATTGACTACGTGGTGGACACCCGCGATTTCGCCCTCGAGTTCGGTGGTGGTCTGGATACTCTGCGCCTGGTGGGATATGCGGATTCCGATGATGCGTGTGACCGGCAGACGCGCAGCAGTACCAGCGGATACGTTTTTGTTCTTGGCGGAGCTGCACTTTCGTGGGCAAGTCAGAGGATTAAGTGCATGACGTTGTCCTCAACGGAATCCGAATACATTGCTACAATGGAGGCCGGCAAGGAGGCGCACCGTTTGCACTTTCTAGATGCTGGGGTGCCGACTGTCATCCACGTGGACAACTCACATGCAATTGCGGTTGCGGAAGGGTTGGGGCTCAGGGGGAGTCTCAAGCACATGGAGAGGCGGTACATATGGCTGCAGCAGATGGTGAAGCGCAAGAAAATCGCGCTTACGTACATCCCGACGAGCGAGCAACCCGCGGACTATCTCACGAAGGCACTACGTTCCCCGGCATTCAAGCGCTGCTCTGTCGCCATTGGGCAAGTTGATCTTGCAGACGACGAGCGTGACAACGAGCAGGAATAGGTGCCATGTCCTTCAACATGGCTGGTGCGATGAGTATGCGTGTGCGGAAAACACGCGGACGAGTATCAGGATCGTCACCCTGTTGTACTCTATTATTTCCTTTCGCTTTGTGTGGTGTGCTAACTCCTCAGTTGCCCAGGCACGAGCAGGGCAGGGGAGTGTTAAGGCGAAGCCTTGCACGCGCCTGGTTTTGCGTGTAGCGGCCCTATGCGGAGCAGCGAGACTTTGCATACCGCGTACCGGTTTTACCAGTATTGCGGTATTCGCCAAGTACACTCCAATATGTGCGCTTCGGTATGCACATTTCAACATTGGACCAGGGAAGTGACGACATTGCACAAACGCGTATGTGCAGCTGTCAGTGTTGCAAGAACCTGCGCAACTACTCCTGGGCAGGTAGAAATATTGTTGACGGTATTTTCACCTGATGGTATTTTCACCTGGCGGTGCCAACCTGGAACCGCATTCTAGAGTAGGTGCTTGCACGTTCTCCTTGAACAACGTTCTTCGTGAACAACGTTCTCGTAGAACGTTCTTGCACACGTCACTATGCTTCTCTATAAGGTTCATGTTGTTTCTGTTGTAATATATCAATTTCATTATTTAATCAATTCCGTTCCTTCAATTATTGCATACCAAGATTGGCATCAGTATTCGGTTTCCACAAATCAGTATTCGGTTTACAACCATCCGCTTTGCAACTCTGCGCCTAGGCTCTCCCAGAATCGCCTATTCTCCGCAGGTGGAAGCAGCATTAGCAACAGCAGCAGTGGTGGTGACAGAAGTAGATAACATGGGCACTGATAGTAAGAGTATCTAAGGGAGGAGCACCCGGGGAGGAGCACCTGGGGGAGGAGCATCCGAGGGAGGAGCATTCGGGGGAGGAGCATTCGAGGGAGGAGCATTCGGGGGAGGGGCATCCGAGGGAGGAGCATTCGGGGGAGGAGCATCCGAGGGAGGAGCATTCGGGGGAGGAGCATCCGAGGGAGGAGCATCCAGGGGCGAAGCATCAGAGGGAGGCTGTTCCTTCAATGCAATCCTCTGTAAAACAAAGAGAGAACTTCAGTGAGGTCGAGGGGGAGGCTGGTACTCGTGCAGGTAATGCTGCTGGGGAAGGTGTTTATGGTGGGCCGTGGCCGTAGGTGGTCAAAGCAGCAGCAGCAGCAGCAGTGGTGTGAACATTTTCAACGACAGTGTTGAAAAGAGTGGGATAGGAGGAGCCAGGTTACTGCTGTGTCACACAATGCCATGGCAGGTCATTCTGGTTTCGATGGTGGCAGGAGCAACAGCAGCAGCGGCGGCGGCGGCGGCGGCGGCGGCAGCAGCGGCAGGGGTGAGAACATTTCAGCAACAGTGCTGAAATGAGAGAGCTAGGAGGAGCCAGGTGATGCTGTGTCACTCAATGCCATGGCAGGTGATTCTGGTTTCGATGGTGGCAGGAGCAGCAGCAGCGGCGGCGGCGGCGGCGGCGGCGGCGGCAGCAGCGGCAGGGGTGAGAACATTTCAGCAACAGTGCTGAAATGAGAGAGCTAGGAGGAGCCAGGTGATGCTGTGTCACTTAATGCCATGGCAGGTCATTCTGGTTTCGATGGTGGCAGGAGGAGCAGCGGCGGCGGCGGCGGCGGCGGCGGCAGCAGCGGCAGGGGTGAGAACATTTCAGCAACAGTGCTGAAATGAGAGAGCTAGGAGGAGCCAGGTGATGCTGTGTCACACAATGCCGTGGCAGGTGATTCTGGTTTTGATGGTGCCTGCAGCAGCAGCCGCAGCAACAGTGGCGGTGGCGGCGCCGGCGCCGGCAGCAGCAGCAATAGCAGTTTGGGATGGGAGTAGGGATAGTGGGAGCCGCAGCAGGCGTAACACTGACAGTTCTGGTTCTGTAGTTGATGGAATTATTGGAGTTACTGGTGAGGCTAGTGACGGTGGTGGTCCTGGTGGTGGAATCGCCGGAAATACTGGTAACCAGTGGTAACCAGTGTTGAGAATAAGGTACGGTAGTGGTTTTTGGTAGCCTGCAAGGGAGGTCGGTGGTGGGGAGAAAGGGTGGTGCAGGTGGCGCTGGTTTCACTGAAAAACACTGCTGCTGGTTTCAGTGGTGGAAGCAGCAGGGGACCTAAACCCTGTTGTATTCCGTTGTACTCTGCACAGCAGAGAAGTTTGGACGAGTCTGGAACTCAAGCAAATCAAATTGTTGACTCAAAAATCATGTGCATACAAAAGCCCTTTTGCATCATCGCACTCCCCACCCTCAATCCCACTCCCCCACTAACCTATCCCCTCCCCTTCCCCCTAACCCACTTCGCCCTGACTTGGACGAGTCCGCAAATATTCTTCGCACCAGGCCTACTTGGTCTTACAATAAGCTTCTTGAAGTTAGCCTTGGACGAGCGCAGAGGATTGAGGTGGCACCTAGATTTTTCTTCAACCGCCTTGAGCGCACAGTTAACGTTTTCCTAGCCTCAGCCATGAGCTTCTTTGAAGTTGGTCTTGGACGAATACACCGTCGCGGGTTTCTTCTAAGGCGCCTCCATAACCCACGCCTAGAAACCCACGCCTCGAAACCCACGCCTACCACTTGCCTACTTGGCCTCAGCCATGAGTTTCTTGAAGTTGGTCTTGGACGAGTAGAGCGTTTGAGGCTTCCAGGCGGTGGGAATGACATTCGCGAGGGTGATCTTCTCCCTGGTGTGTCCCGCAGTGAGGCGAACGCTCATAGCCTTCTTCGCGCCCACAACCGCCTTCGCCTCCTTGCCCTTGATCCCCCAAATCGCCTTGTTTCCGTCGCGGGTCAGCTTCACCCACTTTTTGCCGTCCGCGCTAAGCTCTACCTCGGTAAGCGTGCCGGGCCCGGCAAGGCCGACCATCTGAATGTTAAAATGCTCCGCGGTGGAGTTGCTGCGCACGCGCACCGCCGATCCGGCGGTGGAAACGCAGTTGGTGCGCTTGTACGTGATGTTCACAGGGGCAGTTTCCGAACCCTGCACGATTTTCGCCCATGAGACGGCGGAGAGCGAAATCTGCTTCCCCTCCGTCTTGGTGGCGCCGACGACGCGGACGGTGACGGTGGCCTTGCCGCTGCGGCAGCGCTTCGTGTCGTTGCTGCAGATCACCTTGAAGCACGCGCCGCATCGCTTGCTGAAGAGCGCGTCAGGAATCTTCGCGGTGAGTCCCTTGCCGAAGTAAGGGTTGGCGTTGTAGTTTCCGTAGTAGGCGCATGTGGAGTTCTTTCCTTCGCCCGCGCCCTTGCTCAGCCTCGCCGTAGCCACTCCATGCGCGCTGTTAGCGACTTTTGTAGCATTTCCAGATTTAGTCGCGTTAGCAGGCGCGGCAGCCGCCTTAGCAGAAGCGGTCGCGTTGGCCGGAGCCGCAGCTGCAGAGATGCGCGGGGCGGAAAGGAGCATCGCAGAGGCGATGACGACGACTAAGAATGTGGTTTTAGCCGGAGTCATTTTCACTTCTGTTTGTAGTGGACAACTCTGAACTGATAAAGCTGGTGCTATGTGACGATTTTTAGAGGAGAGAGTGAAAACGACTGGAACTTGTGATGAAATGAATCCGCATTGATAGCTTCTATTTAACCAACGCTTGTGTTGCTTCGATGAGTAACTTCCGCGAGTCACGGGGATTGGCTTTGCTGTGACTCATAAGTAACTCCAGCTTCTCGAATCTCGCCCGAGGCGCACGAGTTTCCAAACTGATGATTGTGGTGATTTTCCTTCACTCACCTCAATCAAATTTGCTGTGGATAATTGCGGTGAGAAGGGAAAGCCTTTCGCGAGTGGCGACTGGTTCCTGAACTGACGAAATCAAGGGAGACTCGTTCAGTGGCTCGCGACAAAAATTTCACAATTCGGTGGGACTGTGCTCCTTGCATCTCCCGCATGCGACGGCGCAATGGATGCGAGTCCGAACCATGCTGCAATTGTTGAGTCCCGACTGCACTTGCCTGGGACTAATAATAACGAGTGGTTATTCATATACACCCGATCTGTTATGGAGTGTAAAGCGCAAACCTGACCGTACCACAAAAAACCTAGCTAGGAACCTCAGGAAACTATGCTGGGCACTTGTGAGGAGACTAAGCGTTAGGGGGAATTAAAGTAGCCTGAAAGATTCAAGGAAATCAGGCCGTCGGACAGCCCAAGTTTACTTTGCACATTGATTAGTTACATTGAACGATAATTCACACGGTATAACTGTGTGGGCAGATTATTAGTCAACGAAAAGCTCTACTTGGGAGCAGCGTTTCTGGCTATTTTGCACAGCTTGGCCATTAAGCCTGATAGTTGCAGCACTGACCCCACTCCGTCTGCTATCCGCATGTGACAGAACCCAACCTCCTGCAACACGGTTACACGGTTACAAGGGACAGATAGAAAAGTTAATTATTTCTCGACTGCACTCAATCCGTCTGCTTTCCGCATGTGACCGGACCCAATCCCCTGCAAGAAGGAAGAGGGGGGGTAGGTGCGGGTATGCATTGAGGTAAGATGAGAGGAGTCAACTGAACACTTCGGGCATGTTGTACTTTTTGACTATTCTGACGAGCATCAGCTGCTTTTGACTTGATGTCAGAAGCACCATAGCCCAGAGACCGGCAAAGGAAAGCCTCCACTTTTTGAGGCGCCTCAAGAATGGCCCAGAGACCGGCAAATGAAAGCCCCTACTCACCCTGGTAGCCCTTAAGCTGACCCAAAAGGATCCGCTATACTTTTAGACTTACTCTGATGAATTCCAGCTTCAGCAATTCTGAAGAGCGTCGTGATGATGTCAGACGCAGCATAGCCCAGAGCAAGTCAACCTTGTGTGTGTGTCCCCTTGTGTCCCCTTGTGCACGGCCCTGCTGTCTACCTTCCCCCACGGCGTAAGTCACCACCCTGATGAACTCCAGCTTCAGAAACTCAGGCATGTTGTGATGATGTCAGAAGCGGCGTAGGTCAGAGCAAAGATATTCAGCTCCCTCTGACGCCCTGTGCACCCATCTGAACCCCTGTGCACCCATCTGCACACCTTTCACTGGCAAAAGCAAGGCGACTCACTCGTATAAACTCCAGCTTTAGAAACTCTGGCATGTCGTAGTTCTTGACTATTCTGAAGAGCGTTGTGATGATGTCAGACGCAGCGTAGCCCAGAGAGGTGACCTCTGTATACACAACCCTTAAACCCACCCCTCCCCCCACCATGTGACAACACTCACCCTGATGAACTCAAGTTTTAAGAACTCGGGCATGTCGTAGTTCTTGACTATTCTGAAGAGAGTCGTGATGATGTCAGACGCAGCGTAGCCCAGAGCAAAGAGGTCCCGAATGCCCTCGCATGCAGTGTCAATGTTACCCGATAGACTGGCTTTGACTGTTGCTGCCACCTTCAGTGGGTGCGGCTGGTCGCACACCTGGTGGGGAAGGGAATAATATGTGCATAGGGGAAAGCGGGATTTACACTGGCTTAAGAAAGGCCCAGAGCAAAGAGGTCCCGGATGCCCTCGCATGCTGTGTCAATGTCACCCGACAGACACGCCTTCACTGTCGCTGCCACCTTCAGTGGGTGCGGCTGGTCGCACACCTGGGAGAGGCGAGACAGGGGAGGAGCAGACGGGCCACATTCAACAATTAGAGCACTACCACGGGCCCATGTGGAGGGTGGAAACCTAACCGCTGCTCACTGGAAGATGTCCCAAGATCTGCTACCACTACCACTACCACTACCACTACCACTACCACTACCACTACCACTACCACTACCACTACCACTACCACTACCACTACCACCAACGCCTGCAGTCACCTAAACCACGGGCCCATGTGGAGGGTGGAAACCAACCGATATACCCTTAAAAAAACGTTTTAGGCATTCACAAGCCCGAAGCCAGAGGCAATGGCCTGCGACTTTTTGAGTCGACTCAAAAGTCTACCACAACCACCAACGCCTGCAGTCACCTAAACCATGGGTCCATGTGGAGAGTTGAAACCAACCACTATACTCTGAAAAACGTTTTGGGCATTCACAAGCCCGAAGCCAGTGGCACTGGCCTGCAGGTTGTGGATCGAGCCTTGCCCCTCTCACTCACACACTCCCGTTGCACACAGCTACACCACCTGCCTGTGTGAGTGGTACCAATATAGCACACATACCCGGAACACGTTATCGGCGTTCACCAGCCCGAAGCCAGTAGCAGTGGCCTGCAGGTTGTTCAGTCCCTGCCCCTCACTCTCCCATTCCCTACAGCTATGCCACCTGCCTGTGTGAATGCTATCACTCACCCGAAACACACTGTCGGCGTTTACTAGCCCGAAACCAGTAGCAGTGGCCTGAAGGTTGTTGAGTCCCTGTTGTGAATCCCATGCTGTATCTGCATCTACCTTCACCTACCAGCGCAAGCAGCGGTGCCACACTCACCCGGAACACGTTATCGGCGTTCACCAGCCCAAAGCCAGTGGCAGTGGCCTGCAGGTTGCTCAGTCCCTGCCTCATGTCGCCATCCGCTGTGCCTCCCATGCTCTCCCTCCCCTTCCATACAGCTACCCCAACAGCCAAAGTAGAGACACACCTACCCGGAACACGTTATCAGCGTTCACCAGCCCAAAGCCAGAAGCAGTGGCCTGCAGGTTGTTCAGTCCGTGCCTCATGTCGCCATCCGCTGTGCCTGCCTCTCATTCTCCCACTCCCGTTCCATACAGCTACCCCAACAACCAAAGTGAAAACTAGAGGCATACATACCCTGAAGACATTATCAGCGTTCACCAGACCGAAGCCAGTGGCAGTGGCCTGCAGGTTGTTCAGTCCCTGCCTCATGTCCCCATCTGCTGTGAACACAATCGCTTCCAACCCCTCTGGAACGTACGCCACCTGATACAGTCACAAGGGGATGGATACAGATGCATATGCATGTGAATGTGAATGATAAGCCACCACACGTATGTAGCCCCTGCCTCATGTCCCCATCTGCTGTGAACACAATCGCCTCCAACCCCTCTGAAACGTACGCCACCTGGTGCATTCATTCACAAGGGGACGTCAACAAATGAGAAAGCACTTGGGGCATCAGTAGGATCTTGGAGGGGGAATCAATTTTGAGAATCAACGTTTTGATGATCTTGTGGGAGAGTGAGAGAGAAGAATTACCTCTGAAGGTTCTAAAAAGTGATTTGCACAAGCCAGACAGAGGCTTTCAGGCCTCACCCTTTTCTCACCTTCTCCTCTTGAACAGCCAGCATTAGTCTCGCCAGCAGTTGGGCGTCTGTGAGGCGGGAGAATCGCACGACAGCGCAGCGGCTCTGAATTGGTTCGATGACCTTGGATGACACGTTGCACGCGGAGGCACAGCAGGGAAAATTTCTGTGCCTCACCTATGTACAGCGGTTCTCACCTTTTCCTCTTGAACCACCAGCATGAGCCTCGCCAGCACTTGAGCATCAGTCAACCGGGAGAATCGCACGACGGCGCAGCGGCTCTGAATGGGTTCGATGATCTTGGAAGACACGTTGCATGCCAGGGCGAATCTGGTGGTAGAGGAGTAGATTTCCATTGTTCTTCTCAACGCCTGCTGCGCCCCTGCTGTCATGCTGGCGTGTTGAAGGGGGAGGGAGTGGGTGGGGGCAGGAAAGGGGAGGGGGGGGGAGAGGAGTAGAATTGTTGCATGCGAGGGCAAATCTGAATGTGGAAGAGTAAATCTCCATGGTTCTCCAAAAATCTTGTTGCGCTGCTGCTGTCATGCTAGCATGGGGTGGTGGGAGGGGAGGGGAGGGGAGGGAGGGACGAATCAGACTGCAAAAAATTAAGGAAAAACAGAACAAGGCTATTACTCTCCAGAATTTGAGACTTACACATCTTGACTATTTTTGAGTCGACTCAAAAATCGACTTACTAAAAGCAAGAAAGAACAAAACAAAGCTATTACTCTCCAAAATTCGAGACTTACACATCTTGGCTATCTCTAGGTGCTATTTGACAGGCTGACAGGCCTGTCAAATTGGACGAGGCTGACAGGCCTGTCAAATAGCACCCCACCTGTCAGCCTCGTCCAATAGGATGATCTTGTGCCGCCCGCCTGGGCGGCGGAGTGACCTTATTCTAAGCGAGAATACAGCAGGCTATCAGATAGGACGGTAAGATGTTGGTAATCCCTAGAAGCTGTACTCCGACTTCGGTATAACTTTTGAGACGTCTCAAAAGAAGTCTCAAAAGGCGTCTCAAAAGAAGCTGTACTCCGACTTCGGTATAAGTCCTACCTGTCCGCCTCGTCCAGAAGGATAATCTTGTGCCGCCCGGGCGGCAGAGTGACTTTCATCTGAGCGAATGAACAGCAGGCGCTTAAAAACAAGATGCACACTTTGGCCATCCCTGAATGCAACTACCTCGATTTGCGCCCCACCTGTCCGCCTCGTCCAATAGGATGATCTTGTGCCGCCCGGACGGCAGGGTGACTTTCTTCTGGGCGAACATCTTGATCTTGTTGCGAACCACATCGATGCCCCGATCGTCAGACGCGTTCAGCTCCAACACTGCATCGCGGTAGCTGGGACCCAGCAGTGCATGTGCTAAGGCCAGGACGCTAGTGGTTTTCCCTGTCCCAGGAGGGCCCTGTGGAATTGGGGGAGGGGAGACGAAACAGCAGAACCACATCGATCCCTCGGTCATCAGACGCATTCAGTTCAAAGTCAGAGACTTGGTAGTAGCTGGGACCAAGCGGTGCGTGCGAGAGTGCGAGCACACTGGTGTTTTTCCTGTCCCAGGAGGGCCCTGCGGGATTGGGGCAAGGGAGACGAAAATCGGAGCCTCGTCGATGCCTCGGTCGTCAGACGACACGTTTAATTCCAAGGCAGCATAGTATGCCCATTAGTGGAAGGAAACTATGACTTTCACGTGCACTAGTGGTCTTGCCCTGCTTAGTATCCTTACATAGTGCTTTTACATAGTTTCCTTACATACTGCGAAGATTAGATTCGGCATGTTGCCATCGCGTGCGATGACGCAGAGTCTCGAAACCGCGTCTTCATTGCCCACTATGTCCTCCACTCGCTGTGGCCGGTACTTCTCCACCCAGGGAATGTCGTACACGCGATCGCGATCGCGCTCCGACCGCCCGGTTTTTCCGGCGAGATTCGGGGGTTCCGCAACGCTGCTACTTCCAGGTTTGCTGCTACCGGCGACGCCAGCCTCCGCGGCAGCAGCCATTCAGGCTCTGCCACGTGGTGGTTTTGGAGGGACTCGTGTTGCTAACCAGTGGGCGGCGAGTGCTGCAGTATCAACGAATCCTGATGTAGGAGGAACTAAGAGAATGAATTCGGGGAATCTAAGAGGCACTAATGAATGCGAGGGATTGAAACACCAAGTGGTACTAGAGCCAAAGCAGCGTGGTTGAGGAGGGGACATTCTATCAGATCATTGCTCCAATTTCAGTAACGAGTAGCGATTTCAATTTTTGTCAATATGATGCTGGATAGTGTACACTGAACATATATTCCCGTTCACGCCTCAATTTTCCCTTCCCGCCAAAATGTGCTCCCTAGGGAACAGTTTTTGCAAAGGGGTGTGGACCACATTGTGCGGTCATTTTCGTTGCGTCGCGGTGAGGAGCGGTGAAGCCAGATTGCCACTTTCTACCGTGTGAAACCGTTCCGAGCCACGGATATTGAAACTTGCACGTACGCGCTGCCACACCCTCGTGGGTCTTGCAGGGAGCTCAAGGCACAGTGCCCTCGTCTTGTCAATCCCTTCACTCCTCGCCTCCCTCCCACATACGATACCCCCTAGACTCGCACCTGCCTTCATCGCACTCGCTCTAAACTTCACTCAGACCATCTCGCCTCTAATTTATGGACCTCCTCGTTTCGAAACAACTTCACATCTCAGAGCAAAGTCAGGATCGAACGTCGTGAACATGGGAGTTCCTTTTAGACCTCGCGACTGACTTTGGTGAAAGGGGTCGATGACTGGAGAGAGAAGAAAGAATTGTAGCAACGACGTGACTCCACGCCCGTCGTGGATGTAGCATCTTGAGGCGTGCTTGCTACACCACTGCCAGCAGCTTTTTCGCTTGCTTGGCTGAATAGATGTTAATCCCCATAGCGCACGATCATAGCGTGTGGCATTCCCACCAACGGAGCGCACCTACCGTAGGCTGAGAGCTTTTTGTTTAACTGTAGAACATAGCACCGCGATTCGCTTCGTTCTTATATTCCGACATACGGGACTTAATTATTGGCAGTAGATAATGCCGAGTTTCTGGTCCTTCCGCCGGTGATGCCGTTACAGCTGTTAGGTTCAATCAAAATCGTCGGTAAATTACATTGCAGTAGATTAGTCAACTACGCAATGGCGTCGATATAGGTCCATTATCAGGCAAGGCATCAATTCCCTTAAAATAGGACAGCAAGGAGCGAGTGGAAAAGAATTTCCTGCGAGTTTAGGTAAAGTATTTCCGTCCAGCGGCATCTTATCTGCACTACATGTAACAGCGTTACAGTGTAACAAGAGTTGTTCGCCATGGGTCAGCTTGAAACAATTATCGGGTCGGTGGTGGTGTCGGGTACAGCATTCGCAGCTTACGTTCTTATGATGGTGGCCGAGCACACCAAGGTGAGTGTTCTTATAACGGATGCTACCGCTACTAGTACCCACTGATCCGCACTGCCGATGCCCACCGTTACCCAGGTGTAATCCGAGTCTCCCCTCTCCCACTTTCAGCCCGAAATTCCAGAGGACTGCACCTTCACGCGTGCTGCCTGCGGCGTTTCCTTGGGTCCGACAGTGGGCCTTGGGATTGCCGCCATCTGCTTCAGAGGCACCCCAAAGTAGTTTCCCCCCCCAATTGTCTCACCTCTCCCCTTCCAGCCCCAAATACCAGAGGACTGCACCTCCATGCCTGCCACATGCGGCGTTCCCCCGGGGCCAACAGTGGGCCTTGGGATTGCCGCCATCGTCTGCTGCTTCCTGGCAGCGTGCTTCGCCCAGGTGGCCGTTCGCGGGCCCCACACGGCGTATCTCTCGATGAGCAAGGCGTTTGTGAAGCACCACCGATGGGGGGTCTCCGTCTGGTACTGCTTGGCATGGTAAGTGTGTGTCTGGCGTGGTAAGTGTGTGTCTCTCTGGCGTGGTAAGTGTGTGTCTCTCTGGCGTGGTAAGTGTGTGTCTCTCTGGCGTGGTAAGTGTGTGTCTCTCTGGCGTGGTAAGTGTGTGTCTCTCTGGCGTGGTAAGTGTGTGTCTCTCTGGCGTGGTAAGTGTGTGTCTCTCTGGCGTGGTAAGTGTGTGTCTTTCTGGCGTGGTAAGTGTGTGTCTCTGGCATGGCAAGTGTGTGTCTCTGGCGTGGTAAGTGTGTGTCTTTCTGGCGTGGTAAGTGTGTGTCTCTGGCGTGGTAAGTGTGTGTCTCTGGCGTGGTAAGTGTCCCACTTCTGTTCCGTTCACCAAGGCGGCGCCCAGGTGGCCCTTCGTGTGCCCCACGCGGCGTATCAGTCAATGGGCAAAGCGTTTGTGATTTTGAGTCGACTCAAAAGCACCACCGGTGGGGGTTCTCCGTCTGGTACTGCCTAACATGGTAAGCTGCACGGTGTTGGGACTCACACACGCCACACCACACCACACCACACCACACCACACCACGAGGCGTACCTATCAATGAGCAAAGCGTTTGCGAAGCACCACTGGTGGGGCGTATTCCGTTTGGTACCACCTGGCATGGTAAGCTGCACAGTCTAGGGCCCACACCACGCCACACCACACTGCACCACACGACACCACAAGGCGTTTGTGAAGCACCACCGATGAGGTGTATTCGTTTGGTACTGCCATGCATGGTGAGCCTCATATTGTTGGACCCACACCAAACCGCATTACACCACACACGACCACACCACACGACGTACTGCAAGCCACATGGCATGCTGTCATGTGCCATCACCTAAGAGGAGGGATAACCCTTTTGGCCTCACACACCACACCGCGCCGCACCACACCACACCACACCGTGAAGTACCACAGGTGGGGGTTCTGCCTCTGGTATTCACTGACCTGGTAAGCTGCACTGCATGATGTGCTGTCATGTGCGATCACCTATGATTGAGGGTAACCCTTTGGGCCTCGGATCAACCCGTACCACCCCACCCCACCTCACATCACTCCACCCCACCTCTCTCCACCGCACCCCCATCGCAGGTGCTTCACGCTTGTACCGGTGTGCTACAGCTCGTATCTAGTCTGGCAGCAGTCAACAGGCAGTGGGGCAGTCCCGGTGAGTCCACTCCCAGTAGTATTCCCTCCCGAGTGGTTGTTTCCTATTTAAGTTTCCTTCTATATAGTGTTCACTAAAGTGTTTAGTCTGTAACGGTGTGGCACACCTTATATCCAATTTGCTCCCTTTCTCATCCCACCCGCCCTTCGCAGGTGGGGGTGTTGGCGGGCATGGGCCTCATCATGCTGTGCGCAGCTCAGCTGAATCACCTCATTCACCCCCATCCGCTTATCCCCCATCCCCTCCCTCCCCCTCTCTCAGGTGGGGCTATTTGCAGGCATGGGGCTCATCATGCTGTGCTCGGGAGTGCTGTGGGTGGGCTTTGTAGCAATGAACTTCAATGCCGATAGACTCATTCTTGCAGGAGTGGAGGACGAGGATGAGGATGTGAGTAACATGTGCTTGCATGGTGTGTGTAGGTGTATAGTATACGGGTGTGCCAGGTGCGGGTTGTGGCAATGGATATCAGTCAATGAGTGTGGGTGGGCTTCGTGGCAATGAACTTGAATGCCGATAGACTCATTCTTGCAGGAGTGGAGGACGAGGATGAGGACGTGAGTAACATGTGTATGCATGGTGTGTGCAGTGTGCACGGATGTATGCATGCATGGGGGGTGGGTTTTGCTTGGGTGGGTTTCATAGCAATGAACTTCAACGCAGATAGGCTCACTCTTGCAGGGGTGGAGGACGAGGATGACGATGTGAGTATGATGCAGCATGTGTGGTGTGCAGTGCAGTGTGCATGTATGCATGGGAAATGGGGAGTGTTGTGGGTGGGCTTCGTAGCAATGAACTTCAACGCAGATAGGCTCACTCTTGCATGGGTGGAGGACGAGGATGACGATGTGAGTATGATGCAGCATGTGTGGTGTGCAGTGCAGTGTGCATGTATGCATGGGAAATGGGGAGTGTTGTGGGTGGGCTTCGTAGCAATGAACTTCAAAGCAGATAGGCTCATTCTCAGCGGGGTGGAGGACGAGGATGAGGATGTGAGTATGATGCAGCATGTGCGCATAGTGCATGCATGGGAGACGGGTATTGGAGGTGTGGCTTTGTCGCAATGAACTTCAAGGTGTGGGGGTGGGTGGGCTTCATGACAATGAACTTCATTGGCAAAAGACTTATTGTCAGCAGGGTGGAGGACGAAGATGAGGATGTGAGTGAAAACGGGGCATGGTTACGAAGGAAGAACTATGCATGGTTTTATCCATAGATGTGTTTCCTGAGATGTCTCAAAGAACCTCAACACACATAGCCTGATTCTCGTCTGTCCATTCATTTCTACAGATATGGGGTGAAGGGGCAGGTGTTGCCTCACTCTCCACTTTCCACTCCCTGACAACCGTCCCCTGACATTCCCCCACCTTTCCTCTCCCACCCCGCAACTCTCCCGCGATTTCGGTCCCTATGCAGTTTACTATGTTCTTCCCGCCACCAGCTCGCTAGCAGCACACACTTCATACGGTCATTGCACGCCCCCTTCACCCCTTCCCCCCTCCTCCCCCGCTTGAAGCGTTGGGGGGGAGAAGGGGAAGCGGCTTGTCTTGGGTTCTTTCTAACTTCTAACCTTGCTGGTGTTATTATAGGCGCTGGCTCTGGTGTTTCTAGGCACCCGTAACCCTTCAGTTGTGTATCTGCTTATTGAACATTTTTTTGTATTCAGCTCTCTCTCTCTCTCTACACTGCAAGAAAGTTCTATTAGTGTAAGGAATGATCTCGACATTCCTTACCGCGACCTGCAACATCACGTACAGCAGCAGCCGTTGTTCGCCCGTTACTGCTAACGGGGCTTCGCCGACTTCGCGCGCACTGTTTCACCAAACCATGCACCGCTGGCTCGGCCGTGTTGGCCTACACTTCGGGACTATCCCGAGCCTCGATGCCAGCCTAGCACTAGCTAGCTCGCACGCACCGCGTTACCGTTTGCATGTTTCGCGTATAAATGTTC